GATTTAGGATCCCCGTAAGGAAAATTGTTATTAGGGTTAGGGATTTAGGATCCCCGTAAGGAAAATTGTTATTAGGGTTAGGGATTTAGGATCCCTGTAAGGATCTGTAACAAAATGTTTTTTCCTAAAACGTTTGCATTTCTCTACATTTCACATTTTGGAGTCCTGGTGTAGCACTGTTGGTTAATGCAAGGCCAGCAGTTGAAGCTCACCAGCCACTCCTCAGAACCCTCCTATACAGGGTCACTATGGGTCAGAACTGACTCCATGGCACTTAACATTTAACTGTTTAAGGTCCTTAAGTGTTAGATTTCAAGTGAGGAACCAGTCAGCACACACACATCTAGAGATGGTTAAAAGACTGGATAAATCAAAGAGGAGTCCTGGTGTGATGCAGTGGGATAAGCACTGAACTGGTAACCACAAGGTTGGAGGTTCAAACCTGGAAACCCTATACACAGTTGCTGAGTTGGAACCAACTCAACACATAACAACAAACCAGAGAACAGATGTTCTCTGATGTGCCTTTTGTCTGCTCTGTCCCTACTGTATCCCAAGGCTTAGGACAATAACCAACACACAGATGGTACACCACAAATATGTGGGGAGTGAGAGGGTCCCGTCCCACCAAGTGCTCAGCTAAGGTGAGGAGTGACTACACCTAAGAGCACCCAAGTGGGCCACTCAGACTTCTGGAGAAGGGGCCCTCACTAGAGGGGTCAGGTACACGCCTCAGGCCAAGCCCAGGCCCACCTTCTAGGCAGCCAGCTCCCACAGGGTATGTATGCCCCCTGAGCCCCTGAGGAGGATACACATCATGGTCTCACCCACCCCTAATTCATGCTCAAGAACGCACCCCCCACCGCCAGCCCCTCCACCAGACTAAAATGAGTTGCCATCAAGTTGTTTTCTACTCATGGCAAAAGCCAGGTGAGTGTCAGAGTGAAACCGTTCCATAGATTTCTCAGTGACGGACTTTTCAGAAGTAGACTGCCAACCTTATCTTCTAAGGCGCCTGTGGTTAGGTATGAGCCTTCAAGCCTCAGAACGACAGAGACGTCAACCATCTGTACCAGCCAGGACTCCACCACGCTGTTAAGTGCCATCAAGTCGATTCTGACTTATAGCAACCCTGTTTCCAAAGCGTGGCTGCCCCTACAGCACCACACCAAGACTTCATATACTACATGGGTGTAAAATATTACATTTTCAGGGCCATATCGCTTCCACGTTTTCAGTATCTACCTTATCACAAATCCATCCCCTACCTACAGTTGACTTCCAACCAACCCCTCAGAAAAGCAGTCCCACCAGCCAGGATAGGCATCTTGATTGGGACACCTGAGAAACGAGATGACGCACACCCAAACCCCACCACAAGCTTACCTGCTCATTCTGCCTTCCTGGGTCCACAGTGCCCATTCCGGCACGGCACCTGGCCGATTTGAATTCACAGACTGTGGCATCATGGGCTGCTCAGACTGAACCACTCGCTTTCCCACTGGCACCTACCTTCTTGGGTAATGCAGATGGAGCCACAGCCCATGCCCACACGTAGCCCGTCCACACCCGCGTCAATCAGGTTCTTGGCCTGAGCAGCTGTCACCACTGTGGGTGGGTGGGAGGACAAACAATGTGAAGGTGCCTGGGGCCTCTTGGGACCTCAGTCTAGTGCCCCCTAAAGTGACCAAAGCCCCTCCAGCCCCTGTCCCCCACTCCAGGGGCATGAAAGACAGAATGGTACAGGCAGGGAAGAGAGGGCCCTCGACTCACCATTTCCACCAATCACTTGGAGGTGAGGGTACTTCTGCTTGATGTAATGAACCATGGCAATCTGATACACCGAGTTCCCCTGGGAGGAGTCCTGTTGGGGTGGGGGAGGCAGGACGCTTCAGCTGGGGCAGGTACTGAGCCCCACTGGGGGAAGGGACCCTTGTATGACAGGTCCCTTCATCATGACAACACTTAAGGCATGCTCTTTCTTGTATTCAGAAGAGACACTTAACAGCATTCTCCCTAAGACTGAGCACTGCTAACTGTCGTAGGAGGAGCCCTGGTGGTGCAACCATTAAGCACTCGGCTTCGGCAGCTCCTCTGCTCCTATAAAGATGACAATCTTGGAAACCCTCGGGGCACACTAGGAGCTGGAATTGCCTTGATGGCACCAAACAACTATAGTAGACAAAGCCCAGTTTCCACCCTCAGACACCATGTTCTGGTTTTAGCCACTCACGAAAGCAAACTACTTTGAACCTCAGTTTCTTCATCTGATGATTGGGAATGAAAGTGGTACCTTTCAGTAGGGCTGAGGATTAAAGAAGTTAAAACATAAAAGGTTTCAGTATGGTGCCTGGTGAGTAGTACGTTCTCAATGAATAGGAGCTGTGATTCTCATTGTGAATGAGCGAGGAAGGCTCAGAGGGGCCTGTTCCATCTGAGCTGTTGAGAGTGTTTTGCTGTTAGGTCAGTTTCGACTCATAGGGATCCTGTATAGGGGTTCCAAGGAGTGATTGATGGGTTTGAACTGCCGGCCATGTGGTTAGCAGTCCAGTGCTTATCCTACAATGCCACATCAGGACTCTGAGAGTGATGGTAGCTCTGCTCATTCTGACACTACAGCAGCCGAGGGAGGCTCCCTGACTGATCAGAAGCAAACCCAGGTCTTCATAAGCCTCTGTGTGGGGACCAACCCTCTCCAGCTCTGGGCTCTCCCTTAGGCCATCTCTAGGGGACACCCTACCAGCACTATGACATCGGTGCCCGCCTGGGTGAGCAGATCCAGGCGGTACTTGTCATCCTCGCGGGTGCCCACAGCTGCCCCACACAGCAGTTGCTTGTGGGAGTCCTTAGAAGCCAGAGGGTAGTCCCGGTTCTTTTTCAGGTCAGTCCGTGCAATGATGGCCACAAGCTCATCGTGGTCATTGACAATGGGCAGCTTCCCTGCGGAAGAAGGCAGAGGTGAGATGAAGGTTCAGGTTGTTTGGAGGGGTGGTGGTGGTGGTTATGTGCCGTGGAGTCGGTTCCGACTCATAGCGACCTTGTACAGCGTTTCCGAGGCTGTAAATCTTTATGGGACCAGAAAGCCTCATCTTTCTCCTGCGGAACAGCTGGTAGTTTCAAACTGCTGACCTTGTGTTCACAGCCTGATTTGTAACCACTATGCTAAGGGGAAGGATGAAACAGACCCAGCTGGCTATTCCATGAAGTACCCAAACTCACCACTAGGTGGAAGCACCCGTCAATGAAGCCCTCCTAGGAACCCAAGACCTCTTTCCAGAAAACAGGAAGCAAAGAAACCTCCCAGGCAAGACAGCTGCTGGGCTCTTCCTGTCTCCCACCTGCCTGGTCACAGCCAACTGAATAGGATGCAAATGTCTTATGGGAGAAGCATGTGCCCTGCCCAGTGCCACCCCAAAATAACTCTCCAGTCTGGATCTTTATCCTTCATACTAAAAAAACCGTACATAAGCTTATTAAAGGCTCTGTGTGAAGTTCTGCAGTTAACTGCATTTGATCATGGTGCGACTTTCATTGTATTCATTATGTCCCTGTGGGATACATTGGGAATTGCTCAGCTGCTGTTAGGCTGGTGGTTCGAATACACCAGCCAGTCCATGGAAGAAAGATGAGTCAGTCTGCTTCTGTAAAAACTGCTGTTGGTGTTGTTAAGTTCAACTCAAGCAACCTTGTAAAGAGTTTCCAAGGAGAAGCTGGTGAGTCTGAACCACCAACCTTGCAGTTAGCAGTCCAGTGTTTATCCAACAGCACCATTATCAGGACTCCTCTGTCAAATGACAGGCTTGGAAACCCTGTGGGCAGTTCTATTTGGTGGGATAGGGTGGCTATAGGGTGATGAATCCATGGTAACAGATTTTATCATCTATGGTTTGGGATATGCACTGGAAATGTTGAACCGGGGACAGGTTTTCCTTAAGTCAGGAAAAGAACCTTAGGGACCACACTCCAGTTCACGTGTTTCAAACCTCCCCGAGGTCAGTCTGGCAGCTGCGAAAGCCTGTGAGGCCATGGAGCCTGGTGGGGATGGAGCCTCCTGAGCGCTCCTGGTACCTTTCTTACTGCGCTGCAGAATCTCATTGGCCTCTTTCAATGTCACACCTGCTGGAGCTACCACCAACTCGTTCCGTGGCGTCATCACCTGTGGGGCCAGGAACATTTGCCTGCAGGTTGGCAGGTGAGAGAGAAGGGAGCCAGGCCTCCCTCTGGTCCCTGGTCACAGACACCAGCCCCAGACCCCAGGACGTAGGGCCCCTGCTGAGGCCCAGTCACCCTCTCCCTGCCCCGTGGGCACCTCATTGAGGAGGGTGGTGTGGTCCTTCTCAGCGAGGAAGTCGATGTCTCGGGAGGTGACAATGCCCACTAGCTTGCTGCCCATGGTGCCAGTCTCCGTGATGGGGATGCCGGAGAAGCCATGTCGGATCTTGGCTTCCAGCACGTCGCCCACAGTATGTGAGGGGCTCAGCACCACAGGATCTGTGATGAAGCCCTGTTCAAACTTCTGTGGGCAGACAGGACAGAAAACGCTGGAAGGGGTATGGCCTGGCCACCAGGCGCAGAGGGTGAGGCGAGGAGCAGTGAGCTGGTTAGGTTTCAGCCCGGTGCCCCCAGCGATCAGCCAGGGAATGCGTCAGCCTATAGGGCTGGGAAAGGAGCGGGTGGTTGGCGAGGTGGGGCTGCCCTATACTTGCCTTGACCTTCCGCACCTCGTTGGCCTGGAATTCAGGGGTGCAGTTATGGTGGATGAAACCAATACCTCCCATCAGCTGGGGGGAAGGGAAGTGTGATAAGAGGCAAGGCGTCAACCTGAGCCCAGCCCAGCCCAGCCCAGCTCCTTCTCCCCCTTCTCCCAACCCCATGTTATCCCTTCAAGCCTGGACTCACTGCCATTGCAATGGCCATGTCCGCCTCCGTCACAGTGTCCATGGGTGAGGAGGTGAGCGGAGTCTTCAGTGTGATCTTCCGAGTCAGTGCTGACGTCAGGTCCTGTGGACGAGGCACAGCGTGGGTAGTAGGCACAGGTGGGCCCTGGGACAGAGCCCACGAGGCCCTGCTCTCTGTAATGGAGCTGACACTCCAACCAGAAAGAAAGATACTGAATTAGGACCACAGGCCCAGGAGCGTCTTCTGGGCAGAAAGAGCCGGGCATGGAAATACGTGTGGTGGATCTAGAAGGAAAAGGATTTATTTAAAAGGCAGGCAGGGCTGCAGCTGTGTACAGTGGATCTAGGCGGAAAAAAATTTGTTGTTCATTGACCCTGTCGGTGTTCATTGCTTGGAATCAGTCAAGTTTAAGGAGGAGTCGCCGCTGCCATCAACATGTCAGTCCCAAGGGCACTCATGAAACAACCGCCTATTCAATCTACGCTGGGGCCGTCCCAGTCCGCAATGAGAAAGGTGAGATTTCCATGGAAAAAGTGAAGGTGAAACGCGACGTATGAGGAAAGAGACCAGATTATGCCCCTATGGAGTCCTCAGATGAGGAGGATGAAGAGCTTCAGTTCATTAAGAAAGCCAGAGAACAAGAAGCAGAGCCTGAGGAACAGGAAGAAGATTCATCTAGCAAGCCCCGTCTGCGCTGTCTACAGAACCGTATTAAGGAAGATGTGGAAGAAAGATTGGCTCGACACCAGAATACAGCAGAACCTGAAGTGGTAAGAGAAAGTGACTCAGAAGTAGAAGGAGATGCTTGGCACACGGAACGAGAAGATAGCATTAAGAAGAAGAGGACAAAACTGATGATGAGGAAATTCAACGGCACCGTGGAATGATGCGTCACCAAGCACAGAGAGAAAAAATGAAGAGATGGAAGACATGGAGGTGGAGGATGAGGGACGTTCTGGGGAGGAGTCTGAATCAGAAGAAAGAGTACACAGACAGTGAAGATGAAATGGAGCCTCGCCTTAAGCCAGTTGTCATTGGAAAGAAGGATCGAGTAACGGTCTAAGAACGTGAGGCTGAAGCATTGAAAACAGAGGAGCTGGAGCAGGAGGTAAAACACATGGCGGAGAAGAGGCGCAAGTATACACTCAAGATTGTAGCAGAGGAGACCAAGTGGTCCCTAGCTGCACTGGACGCACTCAATACAGATGATGAAAATGATAATGAGGAATATGAAGGTTGCTACCATAACGGAAATAGCCCAAATTTCCCCTAAGTTCAGGAGTTAAAGAGAATCAAGAGGGACAGAGAAGATCGTGAAGCGCTCGAAAAGGAGAAGGCAGAAACCGAACGCATGCAAAACCTGACTGAGCAAGAAAGGCAAGCTGAGCTTTAGGCAAATGGCAAAGTCATTACCAACAAAGCTGTTAAGGGCAAATATAAGTTCTTACAGAAGTATTATCATTGGAGAGCCTTCTTCATGGATGAAGATGAAGAAGTATACAAGAGAGATTTCAGTGCACCTACTCTTGAAGATCCTTTCAATGAAACCATTCTTTCTGAAGTCATGCAGGTCAAGAACTTTGGATATTCTGGCTGTATGAAATATACTCATCTTGTGATTCAAGATACCACTTCCTTCAACTCAGCTTGTGGTCAAGAGAGTGCCCAAAACACAAAGTTCTTCAAACAAAAGGCAGCTGGAGTACAAGATGTATTTGAGCGGCCATTTGCCAAGAAGCAGAAAACTACCTAGAGTCCAATTACCTCAAGTCTTCCAACTTCAGGACACACAGGAGAATCACAGCGCTTGGTCCTTCATTTACTTTTATTTAATGAGAGCCAACCTATTAGGGCCTATTGCCATACTTATAACAGTGAGCTGTCCAGTATTTGAAGAAGGTGCTTTGTGGGTTTGGAAGCATGCTGAGAAACCTACAGAAAAGCACTGTCTACAAAGGATTAGAGACCTCCAACTTAAAACATTGAGAAATTTTAGGTTTTATCACTGCTGTGGCTTCCAATAATCACATGAGATTGTTCAGTATCTTTTTTCAGGTCCTAAGCTTGAATCAGAAACATGGGCACATTAATGGGCAGTAATTACTTCTGCCTTAGGCTAATTTCAGCTCACTGAAAACCTGTTTTGCATTTCTTAGTTGGAGTAAACTTTATTTTAGGTAAAACATATTTTTGATCCATTTATGTGTATTAAAATATAAAAAGATCACACACACACACACACACAAAGGCAGGCAGGGAGCAAAATGGAGGGAGAGAAAGGTGAGAGCGAGGTGTGAGAGGAAAGCAGTGGCAAGGCTGTAGGGCCTCGCAGACCACGGAGAGAGGGCTCTTACTCGTTCCTGAGATGAGGCAGGTCTCAGACAGAGAGGTGGCATGATCTAATTGGTACTTTCAGCCCCCTCTGAGATTCAAGCAAACAGCTGTGGATCCTATCCCCAAAAATATTCAGATGCAGACTTTGGTAGGCGAGTAGTCCCTAACGACTCGGCATGTTCAAGTTATGATGAACTGCGTGTATGACCGTCCCTTTTAAAAAAATGATTTGTGTATTTTTATGCATGTGCTAAAATATATCTGCAAGTTTATATGTAATGTTTCCAGCCCCAAAAGACAAATGAAGATACAGATAATAAAAGGCAACACTAATAAAAACTAAAAAAAAGAAGTATTCAACTTAAATCAGAACCAACTTCTGATTAGCCGGAGTTAGAGTGGGAGGGACCCTGTGGTAAGCCGGGAACTATCTGTGTAGTTTTGAGACCTGCAGACACCTGAAGTCCATGCGCATATCCTTTCAGAACTCGGGCCCCAGAGTCTCGAACATTCCACTTCTTCCAGTTCTATCTGCCTATAGCAGAGTCAGAGCTTCCCGACAGAACACCAAAGGACAAGGAGACCCTTCCTAGCACCCATCCCAGTGCCCAGCACAAAGTCGAGTGGTCAGTAAACTTTGTTGAACTAAATAGCTAAGGCTTCTGGTTGCTGCCATATGGTTGCTACCATAACGGAAATAGCCCAAAATTCCCCTAAAAATCTTTTGAGTCAGCAGTGACTCTGGGGGCATCCCTAGCACAGAAGGGGGCCTCTGGTCTCCTGTGAGAAAAGACTGGAATAAGTCTAACAATGACAGCTCCCCAAAAGCAGTCAACTCATTGTAAAAGTCTATGAATTCATGATGGAACGGATTGAAATGATTCACAGCCACCTGCACCACTCCCTGCCTGTGTGAGTTTATCATCGATTAACTGTACGGTGAAACCTATGGAAGCCGGAACTTGTATGAAGCAGAAAATTCAAATATATTCCATTAAAATGAGGGATAGAAAAGTGGTCAAGACCACATCCTGTCAGAGGCAGAAAACTTGTAAGAGCCAGAAAAATAAGGCAGCCCTGTCAAGTCTCACGGTCACAGGTTTCACTGTATAAAGGAAGTGTATCTGGCTCATTTTTAAGCCACTCCCGAGAGCAAGACGGGTTTCCTTACATCCCGCCAAAACCTAACCAGCTGTTTGTTGCGCAGTCAGCTCTAACTCACAGGGACCTAATGTGTGTTGAGTAGAATTTAGAATGTGCTCCATAGGGCTTTTAGTGGCTGACTTTTCAGAAGTAGATGAGGTACTCAAGGTGAGCTTGAACTTCCAACCTTTCATTTAGCCGCCAAGCATGTTCATGGTTTGTACCATTCCTGCTCCTTCAAAAGCGCTGTGCTCACTTACCACAAGGTAGATTTGATCCACAGGGTCCGTGGCTCAAACGCACCAGCCACTCCTCAGAAACCCTATGTAGAGTTGCTATGAGTTGCAATCACCTCAATGCGCTTAACAATCATGTCCTTAGGAACTCTGTTTGCTCTGTAAGTTAAACATCAGACTGAGGCCAGCAGTTCAAATCCACCAGCTAGCTGCCCCTTGGGAGAAAGATGAGGTTTTCCGCTCCCATAAAGATTCACTGCTTCAGAGACTCTGTACAGGGTTCACTACGAGATGGAATCAATCTATCAACTGAATGGCACTGGGTTTTTTGATTTGGTTCATCATGTCCTTAAAGAAGCCCCAATGGCATGGTAAGATAAACACTGGACTGGTAACTACAAGGTTGGCAGTTCAAACCCACCAGCCAAACTGCAGGAAAAAGACGAGGCTTTCTGCTCCCATAAAAAATGAACAGCCTCAGAAACCCTATACAGGAATGCAGTGAGTCAGAACCAAGTCATGTTCCTAAAGAAACCCTGGTGGTCCGCAGGCTAAGCATAGGTGTGCTAACTGCAAGGGCGATAGGAGAAGGAGACTCTGGGAGAAAGACGATTTACAGTCACAGAAATCCTATACGGTCGCTAGGAGTCTGAATTGGCATGGTGGCAATGGCCTTGGTCCATCCTCTCCAGGGACTCCCACCACTCAGGACACCTGGGAATCCACCAGCTACACTGCAGTCTCTGCCTTAGGGGGCAAAACCTCTGGCACTCCCTTCTGAGGCAGCAGCAAACATCCACTGCATTCCCAGGAAAGGTTTCCCCACGCCCTGCCCTTGAGCGAGAAGTCAGCCTCCTCCCAGGCCTACACTTCTACACTTGCCCTCCTCGCCCCCCCCCCCCCCACTCCCCCCAGGAAGAGACACTCACCACTTCATCTGCTATGAAGTCTATGAAGCCAGGCAGGATCAGGAAGTCACTGGGAAAAGACAAGAATAAGTGTTACTGAATTGGGAAGGGAGAAAGGAGAGAGGAAGTCCCGACTCCTGGATGCTCCACCAGGGACAGCTGAGGATCTGTGCACTTGGAGCACAGCCCTACCAGCCATTGCCTCAGGACACAGAAGTTCCCACATGGAGGTGAAAGTCACACAGCAGATATAGGGCCTGCCCTTCCTTACAAAGTTCCCCATCAAGAGTAAACCCAGGGGATGAACTAGAGATGAGATCTGCTCAGACACATCATGGACAGTGCATGCCTGGTGCCTGAGCCGAGTCAAACAGTGGACACACTGGGAATCGTCCACTGAGCTGAACCTGCGCAGCCAACAGGCCGGACCCTGGGTGGGAAAGGGAGGAAGGAGGCTGTTCAGTTGTTCAGTTAGGACCCAGGCAGCTGCTGATACTAGGTGAATCCTGATCACGGCCAACCCCCAAATCAGGAGAGAATTGAAGATGCTGCACCCGAGTCCAGGGCGTCCCTGCCACCCTCCCACAGGATCCATCTGTTCGAAATTACACAGCTCTGGACAGATACCAACCATCCTGTCAATTCCAACTCAAAGATGACCTATAGGACATAATAGAACTGCCCCACTGGACAGACATTCTTGTTAGGTGCCATCAAGTCGGTACCAACTCATAGTGACCCTATACACAACAGAATGAAACACTGCCTGGTCCTGGGCCAATCTCACAATTGTTGCCACACTTGAGCCCATTGATGCTGCCACTTTGCCAATCCATCTTGCTGGGGGTCTTCGTCTTTTTCTCTAACCCTCCGTCTTACCAAACATGACACCCTTCTCCAGCGACTGGTCCCTCCTGGCAATATACCCAGAGGCAACTATCCTTTATCTTGGAACCCATCTACTGGAACCCCCACCCCCAGTGCTGGCAGGAATAAACAACAGCAGCATCAGAGTGGACAGGGTGGACAGGGTGGACAGGGTGGAGGGAAGCTCCTCAGAAGTAAACTACAGGGAGGGGTCAGGTCTTTAATATGCCCCAAGGCTAGAGGAACTCCTGGGAGCTTCCCTGGGGGTATTTCCTTAAGGAAGTCCAATGAAAAGTATGCCAAAGTTACACTCTCTCCTCCATCACTAAAGACCTGGGAATCCTGTGCTCAGGCACTCCTTCTGCTGCATAGAAGCACCCCTCCGCTCATTAGGGGTCATTAGCATCTAGGTCTCTTGTTGCTTGCTCTATACTCCCCTCAAGGAACTCTGGTAGTGTAGTGGTTATGAATCGGGCTGCTAACCTCAGGGTCAGCAGTTCAAAACTACCAGCTGTTCCGCGGGAGAAAGATGAGGCTTTCTGCTCCCATAAAGCTTTACAGCCTTGGAAACGCTGTACAGGGTTGCTGTGAGTCGGAACCGACTCCACAGCACAAAACAACAACAATATACTCCCCTCATGCAGCTAAGGACAGGCAAGTAGTGGCTCCTCAGGTGTGAGGGCATGCCAAGTGTTTGGAGACTGGCAGGAGACGCTGGGTTCCCAGCACTGGGCTCAGATGCCCCTTTCTGGCCCAGGCGCCAGCAGGACAACTGGCCTGTGGCCCAGGAAAAAGGGGACCTGTGCCACAGGCCCACGGATAGGTCTCTATATTTTTGCCAAAGTCCATGTGAGAGACTTGGGGTGGAAGCCGCAGAATGCTCATGTCCAAGGGAGCACCAATGCCAACCTGTGGGCAGCCAGGGGCCCAAGTGGAGGAGAGCTAGATTGGATGGTGGAGAAAATAGGGTAACATCCCATCCATCCACCCAGCTGGGGCTCTTCTGAGGCAGCCCCCAGAACCTTGGTTGGATTGTAGTGTTCCCTGTGTTCTCATGGAACGACTGGGAAGGAGAGGAGACGCTTTGGACAGCTGGAGAAAAGTCAGCTCCCACACCTCGAGTTCCCACGCGCCCTTAGGGTCCCTCCGCCTCTCGTAAGGCCAGATACTCAAGAGGGGGAAGGGGGCTGGCTGGGCGAGGATCTGGCTGGGAACTGGGCAAGGCACCGCAGGCCACGATGTCACTGTGCCACGTATCTCTCTTGTCAGCCACCTTCCTTCCCCTGCCCAACCCCCCTCCGCCCAGCCACCGGAGTCAGGCCCCGGACCCCGGGCATCTCGGAGGGGCCGCGAGGGGCGCGCGCACGTGCAGGGCCCGGCCGGGACCCGCGGCGCATCCGTGCGCGCACCCAGATGGCAGAGGCCGCGGTGCTTACTTATAGGTGAGGCCGTCTGCACTGGCGAAGAGCTGCTGCGCGGTGAGCCCGTCCTCGGGCACGTAGCCGGTACCGCCGCTGATCAGGTAGTCCGCCATGCTGCTGCGAGAGACCGCGGTCAGACATAAACCTCCGCACGGGCCGCCGCCGCCGCCGCCTATGCTGCTGACGCCGCGGC